GCTGCCTGTGATACAGTGCTTTCTTTTCCTTACCAGCTTCTAAGACTGACGCGTTCACCCACAGCAGCGTACATGTTCCCCCATTTATACAGTGAGATGTGAACCCATACATTTTCTGTCCAGCTACCAGTCCAGAACCCTAATGCCTCGTGCTTTAAACTAGCCCAAGATATCCTCCACTAGTCTCGTTAAGGGAGCGTGTTGGTACTGCTGACCATCTTTGTCCTGGCAAAGTGACGCCCGTCAGTCGTCAGTGGCTCTGCTACGCCTGGCGTCTCCCATGAAACAGTTGGACGAGATCCTCACATTGACTGGCTACAAGCAACCACCTGGGCTAGGCAGGCATCATGTCCTCCTCTCCCTGATAACCTCCTTTTATTTTCCTTTGTTCTTAAAGATCTGTGCTTCCCCTAAACATCTCTCTGCCCCAGGGCTCACTAATCCCAACCGACTCATTTCCAAGGGACTGGTTTTTCTTCAAGCCCCTTAAGGTCAATCATTCTTTTGTCTAGATGTATATATGTACTGTACATATAAACAGAACAGAACCTCGCACATAAACTATGTGAACCTGGAAGCAAGTTTGGTCCTTTATGTTTCCCTCCTGCTTTTTTACGGGAGGCTAAAATGTTGCTTTTGGTGTCACTGTGTTTCTCCCTGCCTTCAGCCACTCGCTCAGGGAAACCTGCTTGTTAGACCTCTGGGTTCAAGGCCTGTCCTGACCTATTGCAGCAGTCACAGGATGAGAAACCTCCTACCCTTGCACCATCTGCCGAGGACATGTTTCGGGGTTGTTCTGCATGTCGGTAGATCACATTCGTTTTGCTGTAGTACATGATGAGCTGTACCAGGTACCATACAGCCCTGGTCTTCCTAATCCCCCTGTGCAATGCTAACTCATACATATGTAAATAGCAGAGGCAAAGAGAGCGAGCAGTTAAATCCCATCTCTGGTGACATCTACTAAACAGACAACTTTACCCATTTAATGTGTATTTAGGCTGAAAGCTCCGCCATATCATTTTCCTGTCTTTTTTTTTAACCCGAAGCAAATTGGAATTCCACTAATTAGTCCGCACTGGCTTTGGAAAGACGGCATCACAGAATCTGGAGCCAAAGTTCAACATCCTGAAATGAAATTTAAACCAATTAATCTGTTAGATTTTTATCGCTCGTCCGTGTTTTCTCAGCAAATCCCCCGGCGCGTGGCCTTTGATCGACTCCTGTAAGGACTCAAAATTGTCTGCCTGCTGCGAGCGAAATGAGAATGACATTTACACGGCTCTCGTAAAACAATCAGGTCCACGAGGCCCTCAAACAAGCAGGGCAGAGTAATATTTAATAAAGGTGTGTGTAATCACTGGAATTAACACTCCAGGCATTGCTGAGCCTCAGGGACACGGGGCGTTTATTGTGAAGTGATCATTGTTATCTCACACGGAGAGCTGAGTGATCTTTCGCAGTTTGACCCTCGGATTATTAATTATCGCCCTGCACAAAAACAAAAGCACCACTGGTGATTCTGCCTTTCAGAAATCCAAAAGTTCACTGGACCGAAAGCCAGCAGGCACCAATTCCTTTCTCTCTCTCTCTTTTTCTGTCTCTCGTTTTTTTTTCCGGCTATTTGTCTGCCCCTTACCCCCAACCCCACCCCCCTCCCTCTCGTGTTTTTGGTTTCCTAGCGCTGCCTCTGACTCCAGGCACACGCTCACAAGCCAGCTAGGTGAAGGCAGCCGACCAGAGAGATTCACTGAACTAAATGAACTTTGTTCCCCCAAAGTTCCCCACCCCTGTTCTGTTGGTTGCGTTTTGCACATCAGCTGTCAGTTCAGAGGGCTTCAGCAGACTGAAGTTGTGTGCCTGTGGGGTTTCCGCTCCTAAATGTTGCTGTGTGTGGTGTTTTGTTACGGCCACACTACGCACAGCAGAGCACAATGCCGTGATCGATGCAGGCCTTGGTGCTGTGCGGTTTCATCCAGAGTCTGTGCTCATTAATGCCTATTCTGAAAGGTATGTGGTGATGTGAACTGAATGAAGAAGGGACTTCTGGTGTGGTTGATTACTATCAAGGAAGTGAAGCAGGCTCAGCCATTGCAGCAACAGTAGGAGTTACAGGAATGTGAATATCAATTAGCTGTGCTCGTTTCACAGAGCTAGAAAGTAGAAAGTTGAACCCATCAATACAGCCTTCTAATACCACATGGTGTACAGTATATCGTCCTAGTTAGCAGACATAGACAACTCTTTTGCCTTATTAAGGCTTATCAGCGTAACACTGTTAGGTTTGACTAGTAAAACTGGTGTTTATGTATATCTTACAATGGACGAATTACAGATTTCTGACATTTCTTAGCGCACGCAGTCGCTGGGAATTATGGGAAGGTAAACCAACGTCATTTCCCTCCACACAACAGAAATCTTTGACTCAGAAGCTTTTCCTTGTAAGTGTGGCAGCCCGAAATTTCTAAGAATGACCGAAGAAAAACAGAATAACATGTAATGGTTTAATATAAAAATGTCATGTCTGGAGTGTCGGTTTCAATTCTGAATAAAATCCATAATATGCAAATGTTCGATATTATTCAGTCATGCATTACAAAGTGCTTCTGCCATGGAGCATATGTGAAGAAGATTATAATGTGGTTCCCTCTAATGATAAGTGAAGGCTTTATCAGGAATGCCTTAAGAGCCATTTCCATCGTTAAGTAAAACATTTATTAATAGGATATTAATGACCGAAATAGTTATTGAGCAAGAGTTAAGTAATTACAATATAATTACGCCGCCGTTCGTGGAATGTAAAGTGTGTGTATATAATTACAATTTAATATCTTTTTAATGATGTCATATTTCTTTGGTATTGCAGTGTAAATAAGTTGCCATTTGCAGCCACTCAATCAATGCGTTTCCGGGTCTGATTGATTTATTTTTCTTTCAAACGAAACTTGATTGGAAGTGGCCCTTGATTGGAGTTTGCTGAGCTTCACGGAGGCGCTCTGTGGACATGTGCGCCCTGTGTGAGATAGGTTTTCCCGCGCTGCCCGAGCTGTAACAACTAGGAAACTCGACTGGTGGAGGCCGTGCCCTCTCACCCACCTCTTCCAAACTGCGTCTGTCTCTGCATGTCTTTGTCTGGGGGGTGGTGACAGCCCATGTCTTCCGTGCAGGGTAAAGAATTCCTTCTCTTCCCACACCAGACATCCGAACGGAATAATTCTTTGGCTCGCCATCCCTGCAAGGGGGCTTTGAAAGAACCGTCGCCAACACGCTGTTTCAAACCTTTACTGGTTTTGTGTGCCAACCAGACCTGCCAGTGCCAGCTCTGCCATGCATGTGCCTCAACCTAAAACTTGAGATTTTTCGAGATTTGACGTAGAAGAGTGTGGTTTTGCGCGAGCTGGTCACCTGATGGTTTAACAGAAATGAGAACAGAAAGAAAAACACATTAGTAGATAATAAACTATGCCTGTGGTTCCCAGCCCTGGACCTGCAGGGTTTCATTCCAGGTGATCTCTACATCTCCAGTGTTGATTTATTGTTTGATTGTTTCAACAAGAATTCTCTCTTTCAAAAGCACCATTTCCATTTGACAATACTGTTACCACCCTGTAGCCTGATATCAGTAGATGTTCAAACCAAAGCACTTCTCCCCAACTTGCTGGCCATTATTTAACAATACACAGCTCTAACTAGTTGATCAACGAATGACGAGCAGACACAGGTGGGACTGACACTATATCAGACTTTCCCATGGGGCGTGTTTTTTCCTTCTGCTGAGGTCTACTTGCTGACGTTTCTGGTGGCACACCTGAATGGGGGCAGCTGTGAAACACAGGGCTGACACCAATTACAAATAACATCTGACCTTTTAAGAGCTGAAAGCCAATTTACGAACATGCCCCAAAGAGGACACTGAAATCAATCAGCCTTTGATTAAGTGTTTCTCCTGGACGAGGGATGGGAACTACTGAACTCTGTCACATCTATCTGTCTGTCTACCTGTTTGTCTGCCTGCATATAAATACGTGTACAACTTACAACCCTTCAAGAGAGCTCTAAGCATCAGATTGCAGTTGGGCATGGTGATTTGCAGTAAAATTGCAGTATATGTAGGCCTGCCAAGTTCAAGCCCTTATACGTTTGTGAACATGCTTAATGTCACAGGAAGGATGAGGTCATGAGCTACTAGCAGTTTACTGTTCTAAAGATCTCATGTGGTTCCTGTAAAGCACATTAGGCCCTAAATAAGAACAATAACCTGACAAGTCCGGGTCATTGCGGCCGATGGGAGCTCACTAGTTTCCAGCAATTTCAGGTCTTTCCTCCCTGCAGCGCCAAATCTACTCCACGTTTTCTGATGCACCATGAACGGCCATGCCAGTGCTGTGTTTCTGTGTCGTTATGTCAATCGCTGGGCCTATATCTCCTCTTGCTGGAGCTGTGTGGTATGTTTAAAAGCTCTGCCCTTGCTGTAAAAAACAAAATCAAAACTAGGATGCAGATCTGGCACCGAAAAACGCAAACGCAGAAGCAAAAAACAAACGATCTTCAGTAAATCCTGAGTGCGAACAGGAGGTAGTGTTTTTACGGTTTCTAGGAGATACGGCATAAAGTGAAAAAGACACATTGAGGAGGCAATCCCTTATAAAAGTTTATTGTTGTATACTATGGTGAATAAATAATGAGAAAGGCAAAGTTTTAGCATGGACAGATTTAGCTAACTATGGAAAATAGTGGTAATCCAAAATAAATTTTCCAAATAGGTACCGATAATATATACAGTACATACTGATGGGCCATATTAGCATGGGAATAAACCGCCATGCAGGTAACCTTCTATAAGGGACGATGCTGTATTTCCTTGGTGTTGCAATGTGAGGACTTGCTCATTTGCAGCGGGAAACTCCGTGTTTGAGTTTGCCTCGGTGCAGAGTGGCTATCAGCACGCTGACCCAGACCCTGTCTGTGTTTCCTCTCTCCCTCTGCCCTCACGGGAGCAGCCACGCCCTGCATCAAGGCCATCAGCCCCAGCGAGGGCTGGACGACAGGGGGCGCCACCGTCATCATCATCGGGGACAACTTCTTCGACGGCCTGCAGGTCATATTCGGAACCATGCTGGTCTGGAGCGAGGTGAGTGAGGGGGGCTCTCTTCAGGGTTGGGGCTATGGACACGTACCCCCCTGCCTAAGTGAACCCGCTTTCCCGTTCGCTCCCTCAGGTGATGGAGTGAAATGCAAGCATTTCAAGTATGAAAGGTATCAGGACCATCTCTTTTTTTTGCAAAGGAACAGGTAAAGGTTTATTCCGTGCTGAAAGGAAAAGAAAGGAGACACAACGTTTCGGCTGTGGAGCCTTCTTCAGGAGTGAGGCAGGTTTCAGCAACTTTAAAGAGTTGTTACCGCTGTAGATGGACAGGAAGTGTTAATAAAACACAGAGGACAGACCATACTTTCGGCACCCTGGTGCTTCACAGGTGCTTACTTGCTCGGGGCACCGCTGAACACAAGAGGACAAAACAGAAATGATCTGCCTTGTTGGTGAATCCACTCACTATATCTTGGCAACTGGTAACAAAGTAACTTGCTTAACTTGCTATATAAAACCCCAAAATCTATGTCATACTGGCAAAGCTGTGAAAAATGAAAAAGGAACACTACCCCCACCAGGTCTAGAGGAAGATGGCCATATCAGAACACAAATGACAAAGAACCAGAGGTCACAGCCCAGATCAAGTGTTTGGCTTTATAGCATTTCAGCAAGGCAGAGGTACTGTATGTCTCTCTTCTTGGAGTTTTCCTTCAATTTTCCAATGCCATGCAATTCACACGTCGGAAAAGTAGGGGAATGTTTAACCTGCCTCCATCACTGGCCAGCTGAAACACATTTAGCTCAAAACCAGAAGCAGTGTTCTGGCTCTGTGCCTAGAGCACTGGTTCAATAGCCTTGCCACTAAGGCACCGGTGTATCCTTAGACTCCAGTGTACCGCGACACTGTATTGGACTAGTTAGTTATTGAAGAGGGAGTTGTGTTTTATAGAAGTGACCCATTCTGTCCTAAGAAGTTGGAATGGCCCAATATGTGGTACGTCCCATGAGGACTGCAAAGTAGCAGCCAACTAGGCTTTGTCCTTATTGTGCCATGCTACAGTATAGGAAAGAAGACTGAAAATGACTTACTGAAGTAATTTCCCCTCTAGGCATGCCTCCAGTGCTTCACTGAAGGCAACAGCAAACCTGGACAATGTGTCAATTCAGACAGCCCGGCGGATTTACAGACAGGGGATAGTGGATAAGAAAACATTAACACAAAGGCTAGTTCAGGGCGCAAGAATCTGAATTTTGTCCCTCTGAATCCTGAAGCAGAGGGATAGAAGGCAGGTTCAGTGTCTTCTGAGGAGACCTCTGCATGGTCCTGTATCTCCGTGGCTGTCGGGAACATCTAGTGGGATCAGTATAATTTATTGCATCCCATTTGGCATGGCAATGCATATATATAATTACACACAATAATGTCTGTGTACAGAATGGATGTAATGTATATGTGTATACAACACCTTTCAGATGAATAGTGCGTCTCTCTATTAGGGCTACAGGGAGACAGAAACATATGGCACCAATTTTCAAGCCCTGCGGTGATTCCTGTGGGCAGCAAACTGAGAGGGGATGTCACCTCTGAACTCCCCCATGACCTTCATCCTCTCTCTCACACACACACACACTCACACCAGAGGCCCACCCCCCACCCATCACCACATCCCTCCAGTGTCCTCAAGCCCCACAGCCAGCAGGGACAGGATCTGATTTCAGGAGAGGATGCCTAACAAAGCCAGAAACAGGAGAAGAGAGAGTGGGCTTTCTTAACCCGGCACTGGCAGAGCAACGGGATCAGACAGCACAGTCACCTTGAACATTTCACAATCCAAAGCCGAAGTTTATCTTTCCCAGACGCCCCTTTGAAACGAGGAGCTTGATTTCATTGTGTTTGAAATCATTGTTATTGTTCCAATTTGTCTCCAGTTTTTTTTAAGACAAATTACCCACCATGTGTGTGCCATGTGTGTATGTGTCTTGGGTGCGCATTTGGGGGGAAAAAAAGGCAGGCCTTTATTTATCTTTTTGCTTTGTTTGTTTATATACGGGCTTGTGCTGTTTTTCTTGGGGTTTTTTTTTCAGGGAGTTGTAGAGCTAGAAATATGTTCAGATAAGGAGATAAATACAGAAAACTGGACTCCCAAATCACAGGCATAAACATACGAAAATCACCACTCACGGGGCACGTGTGTGTTAAGATAACTAATATCCTTTTCTTATTTACCCGCTCGGTGTTGTTTTAGCGCTGAGGAGGATGCTTTGCTACAGAACGTTACTGCCCAGCTCGAGAATGGTGGGAAAGCAGTCTGAGTGACGCTCTAATGGAATAAGCGCAGAACAATTAGGCATCTGACAGCGTTACCATTACTCCCCACAAACGACCCTGGAAGGAAATGATAGGGCTGAAAACATGTTTCCAATTAGGGCCGAGCGACAGAGGAGTCGTCCTCTGGCTGTGGAATGTTTATCTGGTGTCTCAGCGAGCAGGAGCCAGCTAGCCGATCCCGGGCTGCTCCGGTATCGATCGGCCAGCCTTAATGAACACATCCCCTGCCTTTCTTGCCGCCTCTGCGTGCCGCCCTGCGACGTTTCCAGGCTCACTCCAGGTGCTGGAATCGCATCCCCGTGGCGGGGTGTGTGCAGGGCCCACTTCCAACAATGTTTTTTTCCTTCTTTAATTGGAAAAAAATATTAATGGGCCTCATATCCGCCACCCCACCTCTCCGCACGCACGCACGCACACACACACACAGGGTGTGCTTTAACAAGTGAGGCTGTCCGTCGCCTCTCCACAGCCTGTTGAATTACCCCCCGATACTTGGGGGGGGCATTTTGTTACCTTCAAGGGTGTTAAATTCCGTAAGCCGTAATTTAAAAAAAAAAGTCAGGTTGCTGTCGCAGGGTTTTTTCAAGCTCCACGTCTGTAAATGTACAAGGTTTTCTCAGCCGTTGAATTCTGGTGTCATCCAGTTCAAACAGAGCCATCAGTCTGAATGATTCGTCTGCCCCCTGAATGTTTGGTTTTTAATCAGCGCAGACACCCGTCCAGATCCTAGTTGTGTATTTCAGTGGAGCTCTTTGGTTTGATAGGTTATCAGGTTATTGCTTGCTTGTGTGGGGATTCAAACAATTTCCCTAACTAGAAACTCAAAAACATAAATATACTTTCTACGTATTATTTGTAGAAGCTCAAAAAGCTGTAAAATCACGTAGCAAAATAATCAGATAAGTTACAATAATAAAGCTAAATAACACCTCAAAAGATGGAGTGAAAAGGTGGGATTTTCTGAAGGTTTTTCTAAATGTTCATAGTCGCACAGTCTCTTAATGAATTTGGACAGATATACAACAGCAAAGCTGTCTATATACGGTAGTTATAAAAAAGTCATAAATGTGTATGAGAAGTGCTTTAGTTGCATCATCTACAAAATCTGCACTATACAGAACAAATAGATCAAAAATAGTCTGGGTAATTGTCATTCAGATGTCTGTGGGGCTGATATTAAAAGTGTTTATTTTTCCATCTCGACAAGTTAATTACAGATGTTTGTTTTCTTTGTTGATGTCAAGTATTCGTTCGTGGAGACGGCGTGTTAAACAGCAATAATGATTCAGACACGGTGGAATGTGGTGGACAGAGGAGTCAGGGGAGATGTGAGAGGAGCTGAAGGAAAGGAGAGGAGAACCTAGGGACAGGGTTTGGAGAACCATCATGTTGTCCAGGACCAGGGGACACGGCAAATGAGCAAACACTTAATTAACAAAGACAAATGAGTACTTGGAATGACGACCTGCGTTATATTATGCCGACTAATCCATTAGGGTTTCAGAAGAGGCTGCTTCAGGACATTCCAAGATCAATACTCTTACTGAGTTAGTCACTCCTGTCAGGACAAAGACTTCCTTTGCAATGGTTGGAGCCATTTCAGCTTTTTCAGACGTACGAGCTCCTAAACAAACTGCGACAATGAAGCGACAGAGCTTTGTTTCCGATATTTTATTTCTAATGTATATAATTTTAACCTCACTTTGTGCCTTTCTGCCCGTTTATGTAAAACAGGGCAGTAATCCCAGCACAGTGTGGTGTTTTCCCCCTCGTGCACATGCTTGTGGAACCTGGGTGGGCCCTGACCGCTCCCCTCTCTCTCTCCCTCTCCTGCAGCTCATCACCCCTCATGCCATCCGAGTGCAGACGCCCCCCAGACACATCCCAGGGGTGGTGGAAGTCACCTTGTCCTACAAGTCCAAGCAGTTCTGCAAGGGGACTCCCGGGCGGTTCATCTACACAGGTGTGGTAAAAATGCTCCTGCCAGGGAGTTACCCTGGCAATGCTGTTAACACAGACAGACACATATACGCACATAGGCCTAACATGTACCTACTGTACACATGCACACACCTGTACTGTTCTGTACATATACACTGTACGAATTCATACGCACATACATATGCGTTTACATATGTTAACATGCTGTCAGTCTTGGAGCAAAAGTGGTGTTTAAAAGGGTATTCTTAATCTGTATGTATTTCATCCCTTTTAATAGTTTTAAACCCTCACATGTAGAGTTCTTCGGCATTGTGTATGTGTGCGTGTGTGCTGAACTGTGGAGAGGACCTGACCGGCTCGCGTCTAAAGCAGTGTGAGGCTTGTGAGAGCGTGATTCACGCACTGTGTTTGAAGAGGAGGGGAGGAGGGGACAGGAGGTAGGGGGAATGGAGATTAGTCCCTAACACGTAGTACGACACGTAGCCGCGTTCGGAAGGCGTGGGGCTTGGACACCTCTGTACTTCACCGCTGTCATAATGAGGGTCCCGGCTGCAGCCTGCGGGCTCAGCGTTGACTGGTAACATGAATCCGCGCACGGCGCTGGCCTGCACAGCTCCCTCCCCAGCACACAGAGCTGCACGACCACGCTGGAATTCCACCTATTTCCTTTAGGCCGAGGTTAATGCGACTCGCTGGGCTCTCACAAGCAGCAACATCCTGTATAGCACAGAGATAAGGGTAATGCGAAATTCATCTTTCTTTATGGAGGGAGGGGGGGTGGAGGCATAAGACATTAGGTCCACGGTCAGCCGGGGTGGAACAGTAGGAAGTAAGACAGAGAGAGAGGGCGAGCCAGCCTTGCCGATGGAGACCGCGGCGTCTTCTCCTGCTGGTGCCTTGTGTGAGGCCGGCTGAGATCCACAGCGTATGTCCAGGCAACTCCCCCCCCGGTCCATCACAGGTACCCACCCCCCCAATAATGCCGGTGCTCGTTTATACAGCTGGATGGGCTGGAGTAACAGAAGTAAAGCACCTCACCAGTGACCCACAGCCCACCAGTTACGAGACCAGAGACTTACTCACTACAGTCCGCTATATGTCCCCTCTTCCCCTGCCTGTGGCCCATCAGTAAAAGAATGGAGAGGAGGTCAAAGTCCCTGGTCCTGGCCCTGCCTGTGTGTAGTGCTGCTGTAGTCAGCTCCCTCACCCCTCTCCAGGTGCTGTAGGTAGAAGTGGCCTGCACTGTGCAGCCATGGGGGGCGTTGCTGGGGTGGCTGTAAGAAGCCTTCAGTCGGACAGGGACGATCTAGAAAGGAAGCGTGGGAGAAACATTGTTTCCCGGGAAATGTACCTCTGCTGGATATCTGCAAAGGAGAAGTTCTGTTCCGTTTGCCGTTCTTATTCCCAACGAAACAAGCAGGCAGATGGATGGATGGATGGCAGAGAAGTAAAGACAATTTGCTGAACACTGACGGGAGGAACTGCAGCTGAGAAATGCATAAATCAGAATGAGTCAAGTATACTTCCGGGACTCCGTCTTTACAGCTTGTGACAAGAGTAAGGGGACAGGGAAGCCAAATGGATGCAAATATTGGTTCAGGATTAGAGCAGAATTGGCTCAATTAGAATGACGATTGTACCTTCTAATGCTTGAAAATAGGGTCACCATTTAACCAGGGGAAAAAAAAAATCATTGCCTGGAAGGCCACCATCTTGAAGCTATTACAAAAGAAATTTGGATCTCCCTCCAAAAAGCACAGCGCAAACACAGTCACATACACCCAGATACATGTATATACAGCAATTAACACACACACGCACACACACAGGCCTAGACACACACCCGCTTGGCAAACCAAAGACAGGGTGGGGATCGGGTCCGCTTTGGGCTCACAACTTTGTTTCACCTAATAGAAAATCTGAAGAACAGCCCTGGAGGAAGAATTTGTTTGTAATAAGTTCATTTCTACATAATGGAGGAAAGTAGCTGCAAACCATTTCACCAAGGTCTCACACTGAGCCGAAGAAATCCCACACCAATTTAAGAAGCTCTGTAATGAGCCTGAGCTCTTTTTTTTTCCAAGAGGACGACAAAACAGAGAAATGAGAGCCAAGAAAGAAAGCGGAATAAAAGCTGTGTTCTGTAGCAATTCCCACGTTTTTCCTGGCAGCTCCGGACTCCGGGAAACAACGAGTGTTTAATAATAGCCGATATTATTTTCCGTTCCTGTGTAGATGGTTTACTTTTCAAGGTTTTGACGCGGATAAACAAATTGTACAGTGCTAGTCAGGGGTGGGGGACAGGGGTGGATCTTCTGGGATTATCCTGCTTGTCAAATGCCCCACAAACCCCTCCTCAGGTGTGGAGCTGGGTAAACAGGCCTGGTACTGAACATAAGAACATGGGGTTCTGTGAAGAGCTGTTTGATTGCTGTTCCGTGATTGATCTCATCCAGCTGATTTTTTAAGGAAGCTTGGGTGTTACCTGTGATAGATTGTTCCACACTCCCACCACTGTTTGTGTAAACACGTGCCTCCTGATCTCAGTTATAAGTGCACTTTTCTGTTGTTTCCATGTGTGCCCTCTGGTTCATGATTCTTTGTCGATGTCTTTGAAAACGTTGAATGCTTTGAACATGAGCCCTGAATGGTGTAGTACGTTCCTGCAAGCTTGGGATCTAAGCTTTAAGTATCTAGTCTTTGTTTTCAAGACTTATTCTAGAGCAGTGATATCTTGTTTGCATCTTGTTTGCATCTCAGAGACTATAATTTACAAATACTAATTGTTTAGCGTGAAAAGCATCCCACTTTTGACCCTACAACTGTATAGCCCCAGCTCAGTCTGGTATGGAAAGGCAGAGAGATCTGTTTCACGGCACATATATTTACTGTATATGTGTTATATATATTTATTATAAGTGCAAGAGCACTGTGTTTTTGCTGATTCTCCATGGTTGTACCACGCTGTCCTTTGCCACACTTTCTGAATTAAGGGGAGCAGGGAGGACAGACTGTACAAGACCAGACTGAAATCACCAAGATTAACACTCCTCCCCTTCATAACAGTGCCATGCGATCATCCCTTGTCCTGAAAGATAATCCTGTCAGATGGAAAGCAGGCCTGGATATCCGGCCTGCCCAGCCCTACCATGTTGGGATAACTAGTTTAAGTCCTAGTTACAATGATAAACCACTCCAGGCTGCAAGGTGGCAACGCTGCTCTGTGCTTTATTTTGTTTTTTTTTTTACAGCGAAAACACTGTGCTTCACTTCACTTTGCTTTTTCTGTGATATGCCTCTATAGAACCGTGAGGAGTTTCTTTTTATTAGGTTGTGTGTACAGAAAACATGCTGTCTCGCTGAATACCAGCTCATTATCCACAAAGGCCTTTCTCCGTTTTGTCTTTTATTCGTCAGACACTCGGAAGTCCCATTTCTGTAGAGGCTTTAAAGCTCTTTTTCCGTTTTTGTTTCTAAACGCGGGTTAGGCCTGCTTGACAAAGTGTCCTGTTACCCCAGTTATAATCTAACCCCCCCCCCCACCTTCCTAAACTCTTTTAATTGGCAAGCATTTTGGTGGTCAGGTCTCATTACGAAGAAATTATTTTTAATCATCATTTGGAGAAAGCTCCCTCCAGGCTACCTGGGCTGGAAATGGCTTCGTCTGGCCGCTAAGTGCTTTCCGAAGCAGGGGGAGGTGACCTTTGACATGCTCTTTTGGCAATTTCTTCAACATGTGAATTACGAAACCTAATCCTGGCGGCGCTTACCTCACCAGAGTCAAGGTCACGTTCTCCCTCTAGGTCAGAGCGCGACTTGCTCACCATGTGTGTCAGCCTTCCCCTGGAAAACAGAGCCTTCCCCACGCCGAGGGAGACAGATTGATAAGAAATTAATGAAATACATTTCTGAGGTCGCTTTCACCTTTAAGGGTTTTTCTCTCTCGTAAAAAAAAACCTAAGGAGGCAGGAAAAAGAGAAAAAAAAAACTGCTGACATATGGCTCAGCCACGAGAGTGGTTTAGTGATCCCTTTCACACCGTAGAAATACCAGCTCTGCAACTGCCCGGGCTGCAACGTCTCCAGCTGATGGCTGGAATACCGACTCCTTCCATCCGCTTTTGTTCGTTTGCTTTTGTCTGCGAGCGGGTGTGTTTGCATGCCGGGGTCCTCCTCCTGCAAGTTAATCCCTGCAGACGGCAAGCAGGCCTGGAGTCCGACGGGCTGGCCCAGCCCGAGCCTGCTGGTCTGGCAGGAGCAGCGCGGTCTTTTTGGTTTATTGTGGGGATTTGGCGGCGGGTATCGGCCACTCCGCGGCCACATGGCTGGACCGGTAGGGACCAGTAGACTGCGCGATGGAGAGCCCGTTGGAACAGGTGGCAGATGGTGGCCTTTTCTGCACATTAGCTTGACGCCATTCCCCGTACCCCTACGGGCGCCGTTCGAACTCGCGCTCCTCGGAACGGCTTCCTTTTCCCCCGCGAGTCCGCGGGTTTCCTGTTTGTGCGTGCTGGCGGTCGGCGGGCGGGTCAGGATACGGCCATTGCCTTCCCTTGCCCGGTCCTGGTGGCAGCAGGGTCCGCTGGGATCCGCTTAGCCATGGAGACGTGGGTGCGGGAGTCCGTGCCACACTGTTCTCTGCCGGCTCCAGCTCCAGTTGGCATCTTTCAGGGTCCAGTTGCCAGTGAGCTCTAATCAAAGACAATTGGCAGTAGTCCGTGGCAGCTGGCAGTGGCATTAGGCGAGGGCAGCTGGCGCAGCTCAGCAACTGCTGTTAAAAACATACAATGGCTCCGAAACCCAATTAAATCAATCCAGCGCCAGGGTGAGCGCTTCGGATCACGACACAGCCTGGCACACATCAGCTGGCCACTGGGAAGGAGAGCAGAGAGGCGGAGGCGGGTCTGGTCAGAATGAACAGAAGAAAAAGGCTAGTTAAGAGGAAGAACTCCCTTTCGTTCTCCCCGTCATCTGTCTGTCGATTTTATTCCGTCCTTTCAGTCCCTCTTTAGTTAACTTACTG